GGTAATGCTGCACTGCTCTAGCCCCAGTATGTACAAAAAAAAAAGGAAAAAAAAAATATTGACTTTTTTTTCTTTACATGCCGTCATGTCAGTACCTCTGATCACTGCCACACCAGTCATATTATGATGCTGTACTGCTCTGGTGACAGCATGTAAACAAATTGTGAAAAACAAATTTTATTTAAATTTCTTCATTTTCAAAAAAACTGACAAAAAAAATAACAGCTTCAAAAAAAAAAAAAAAAAAAACTCATCATACCTCTTACTAAATACCTTGAACTATTTACTTTCCAAAAAAAGGTCATTTGGAGGGTATTTGTGCTGTCCTGACATTTTAGGGCCTCAAGATATTAGACAGGCCATCAGTACATCCGGTGCGATCAATTTTCAAATACATACATCATAGTTATGTATAATATATACGCTATGACTTTCACACAAACCATTATATACTTATTGGGATTTCTTTTTTCCAAAGGCATGTAGCAGAATGTATTTTGGCCTAAATTCATGCAGCAATTGGATTTTTTTTCTACTTGTTTATTGTATATGTTTCATAACAGAATGTAGAATATATCATTTTTTTTAAATTATATAATAAAAAACACAATTTCAAATATATAAACCATAGATTGTAGACTCCTTAACTTTTACACAGACTAAATGACATACACTGATTTGGGTTATTTTTTACCAAAGAAACATAGCAGAATACATTTTGTCTTAAATGAATTACCCCAGGTTCACATATGTGCTGCTGTGTGGGACGCGTTTTGCGCGGGCACGAGAGCCCATTCATTTGACTTTCCCTGGGAAACACACAGGAAGCAGTCCCTGCACTTCTTCAGAAATCGCAGCCCGCATGGGAACTTAGGTTCCCAGTATGGTTGCAATTTGCAGTGCGGGCGGCGTGCCATTAGAATTAATGGCACCCGCCCACGGGTCCTGCATTCTTCTGTGCGGGTGGTGCGGCTGCAGGTATTTGTGCGAGTTCCGCAGTGGCACCACCCGCATAGGTGTGAACCAAGCCTAAAGAAAGATTATTTATTTGCAAAATGTTCTAACAGAAACAAAGATAATAGTTTTTTTTTTTTTTATTTATTTACCAAAAAAAAAAGAAAAAACCAGTGGTGAATAAATACCACCAAAAAAAGCTCTATCTGTCCCAACACATGGTAAAAACATCATTTCAGTGTTGCATGACTGAGTAAGTGGCATTCAAAGTGTGACAGAACTGAAAGCTGAAAATGTGGGGGTGAAAGTTCAGTAATGAAGTAGTAAGATTGTACAATAGGTCAATGATACACCACAGCCATTTTAAATGAATGCTCCGCCTCTATTTCTATTCTCCACCTACCATGGCTTGATGGACTCACAGCAGAAAAAAAGTGTTCCTGGAATTTTTTTGTATAAACCTGGAAGCTGGGGCTTATAAAGCCTCTTCTGACTCAAGATGGCTGTAGAGGTCACCTGGATGCAGCATAGCCAACCAGAATGCTACCTCCAGGAACCAGAAAACCATAGAGAAACAATGTTTCTCCGGACTTCCTCTTCAGGCTGCGATACTGGTTTGGCGCCACCTACAGTGGAGACAGCAGACTGCACCTGCCTACCTACCATTGAAAGGGTTTTGTTTATATCTGTTCAATAATTGCAAAAAATCTCTGTTGTTCCTCTCAGAAATCCAGTGAGCAGTTGCACATGCTCAGCTCACATTTTACAGAGCACTATGAGCTGCATATGTGTCCTGCCTGCTCATAAGTTTTTACATTTTGACTTTAGTTCCTCTTTAAGCACTTGGTAACCGCGCTATAGCCGAATGTCGGCTACAGCAAGGCTACCCAGTTCTGGGAGGGCGTCATATGACTTCCTTCCAGAACGCACTCTCCCGCGTGACCCCAGGGGCTTGCCCCCGGTGATCTCTGTGATCGCTGTGTCCTACGGACACAGGTGATCACGTGATGAGGCAAAAGGCCAATCACAGCATCCTTTTACCACGTAAAATGACAGATCATGGAGTAAATACAGGTGCCAGTTATCGTCAGCACTATCCTCACGGTGTCACAGCACAAGGAAAGTACTGCCGATAACTGGCAACTGTCACAGAGCAGATCGGCACTGATCATCAGGGCACTAATGTTCAGTGCCCTGCAGTGCCGCCCAGCAGTGCCACCCACCAGTGCCCATCAGTGCCTCCCACCTCCCATGTTGATTCTGGCCCAGTGCACCAGGCTTGTCCCGATTGCAGGCAAGGCTTTCCCTAAGCTTTCTAATGCCGGCCATAGACGGGTTGAAAATCGTCCGAAAAAAAAATCGGCCAATTTTCACATCGTTAATTGGGTTGGGTTAATTGGTCGGCCATTTTTCAGGGTTTTTGCACATTTTTTTTATTGGGCATGTTGGAAAATTTGCGGCCAATTTTGACGATCGGAAAATTCTCCTGGCAATGATGGGCAAATCGGCCGATAGTTTTACCGATAAAAAATCTGCACATGAGCCTTGACCTGCAAGAAGAAGAAAAAGAAGAAGAAGAGTTCCAGTCTGCTATTATATGTTATATGAAAAAGTCTTGCGGTTCCAACAAATGTATCCATTTGTATCCAAATAAAAACATTGTAATCCAAATAATGTATTACAATGTTTTTATTTGGATACAGATGTTTTTATTTGGATACAAATGGATACATTTGTTGCAACCGCAAGACTTTTTCATATAACATATAATAGCGGACTGGATTTCTTCTTCTTCCTATTATTATTCCTGTATCTTCTTCTTATTATTATATATTTTCTGTCACATTCTATTGTGTGCTCCTGTTTCTGCAAGGGACAGAAGTTATTGGGTTAATGCCGGCCATAGATGGGACGAAAATCAGCTGATTTTTTTAACGTTGGTGATAACGTCGGCCGATCGAACGACCGATTTTTCTTTTTTTTTTAAAAAAAAATCGGCCGATTTTCGACCCGTCTATGGCCTGCATAAGTTCTGATGCCTTTCTGGTAGGGATGGTCTACCTGGTCTGGCCGAGGGCTGGGCTGAGAAAGAAGCCCATTGGGTATGTGCCCCTGGAGTGGCAAAACTCTCACGGTGAGGGAGCTCACTTTGAGTTTTAGGCACCTTGGTCACTACACCAGTCACGATTTTTTTCGCACCTGCCTATTGGGCCGGGCCTTTTGGCCAGGACCAGAGAAATTGTTGATTCCTGGCCCAACGGCCTGCCACAGTATTTCACTATGGCACTATAGCACTTTTCCACTTCCCCTCTCCCTTTTTTTTCTATGTTGTTTGTCACTTGCACTTTGCACAGCACAGTACACACTTTCACTTCCCCGATTAGTAGGGTGTAGGTCCTTGGGCCTTCCCTGAAAGTCTTGGGGGGGGAGGCATGTGGTCTTTTGGTCAGGGTCTCCTCCTCTCATGGGGTCTCCCTTCGGGGGAGCCCCACTTAGTATTCGGGGTGGCCTTGCTTCAGCAGGCCTCCTGAAGAAAGGGGTCCACCTGGTTCCAGCTGGGTAGACCTAGTGAATGCCTCAGTCCCTGCCAGGAGCCTCACGCCCCAGGGGATCAGGGCTAGGGCCCTTTCTCTTTGGAGGAGGGCTAGACTTGCACCCTGTGCTCTTTTTTTGTGGTTCATTTTTGTGTGCTCACTTTTTTTTGCACTGGGTGCTAGTTTTGTGCGTGTGTTCTTAAAAAAAACAAAAAAACGAGTCCTGTGCTCACTACTGTCACTTGTAGAAGGAGCTTTCTGTGCTGTTTTCTCTGTACCAGTGACACCAAACTCCAAGAAACAATGCCCCCTCAGTGCAGGATCTGCTGCTGCCGGGAGGATGGGCTGTCATGCCACAGGCAGGGAATGCTCAGACAGAGTGATCTATTGCATTGGTGATATGGCACGGGAAAAGGAAGTGACGTCATGGCGTTGCTCTGGTCCTTTAAGTCATAGAGATGAATGGAGGCCATCTTTCCTTTTTGATCTCTATGGCCAGCCGCCACAACCGCAGGGTTGGTTCCTGATGAGCCAGATAAGCTCGAGAACCACCAGAAAGCGGTGGAAGTGTGGGGCTAATCAGTTACTCGGATCATTTTTATCAAAGAGAGTACAGTCTGCAGAAAAAAAACAATGCCGAGGTTATGGCATCTAGCTGCAGCCAGAACCCCAGTATACCACTTCAAAACCATGGCGCTCTTGTGTCAGAACCAGGGGTGGACTGACAACTCATGGGGCCCCCGGGCAATAGGGTATCATGGGGTCCCTGTATCCTTGCCCAAACTCAAAAAAGCCTATGAAAAAGGTACCAGGGGCATCTCATGGGGCCCCCTACTGACACCGGCCCTCGGGCAGTGCCCGAGTTTCCAAATGGTCAGTCCACCCCTGAGCAGAACATTTCTTTTTGTTTTGGACAGAGTGGTGAGAGATTAGAACCCCTGTCAGTTTGTATTGCTGTCTGCGTCCCCGTTAGGGAGATTCACCCTATTTGTCCTGTTTACCATTATCATCCAAAGTGAAGTGAAAGAAAATCCCAAACTTTCTGTTGTCACAACAGGAAATCTTCCAATGTGGGCACTAGATCCTGGATTCCCTCACTTTGGAGGGATTTCCTCTCACTTCCTGTTTTAGCTATGGGACAGGAAGTGAAGGGAAATCTCATATGGGTGGAAAAAAAATAACCAACCCTCCATTATTCTATCCAAAATGAAAAATAAAAAGCCTTTGGTTATACTTTAAAGTGTCATACATAAATAGAACTTGTCTTTGAACCTTAATCATGGAGGCGAAGAGGAAGGCAGATGCCCATCCCTGAACTCACAGTGAAGCCCCCCTCATGAAATTACATTTTCGGTCCGGGGTTTATAAGTGAATTGAGTGACTTTACTGAGTTTTAGTGAAGTGAATGACATGACGCGTGAACTCCGTGCGCTGAACTCCTTCAGTCTTCTCAGGCTGCCCTATCTCCATGACAACACCCCCCCCCCCCCCCGCTCCGCCATCTTGTTCAGAGTCACATCCGGAGCGTCCCGGTCGCCATTTCAGTGTTGGGAAGGACCGGAGGAGTGGGTGAGTGTAAACAGGAAGCGGGGTTCGGTGTGGCTGTGGAGGTGAGCGGGAATACCAGGGCTGTGTGTTCTAGTACGGGGGGACCTTTCCTTGGTGGAACGGGGACAGAATCATGAAAATCAGAGAGGGAATGCAGCCCGGGGGAGGGGGGTCCCCTTAGAGATTGGTGGGAAGGCGGGACTGTGCTGTGTAAGGCGAGGGCGCCCAGGTGTCACATGGGGTCCTGTGTGGCGGAATAGTACATAGGTGGGCTGTACACACAGCTCGGAGGAGAGGGCAGTGCACCCGGTGCTGTACAGTATACACGGTGGCGATAATACGAGTGTGCAGGGAACCTGAGCTACCCCCCACCTCTTTGCTGAGGGTCCTGTGCTCATACCCCCCACATGAGCCTAGGCACACCTCCACATGGCAGCACTCCGGCCTGGTGATAGGCCTGCTATGGCAGCCAGCCATATGGAAGGGGGCGTGCACCTTCTCCCCATTCTGGGGGGACACAACAGTCAAAGGAGCTCCAGTCTTCTTTATTGAAAATAATGGGGTAAAACACTAGGAAGAGCTGATGGGTTTCAGCCTGTGCAGGCCTTAATCAGAACTACAGCTCCATCCCCCCCCCCCCCCCCCCCCTACCATTTGTTGTGTTCCTCATGCAGCTGCAAAAACAGCTGTACATGCATTTTACACAGTTTTTTGGTGCATATCCATTGAAGTCTGTGGAGCCAGAATCTCGCTTCCATCATATCAAGGTAGCCTGGGTACCTTTTCCCAAAAAAGTGGTGCGCTGCAGGGATGAGAACGGCATCATTGGAAGTAATGTGATTTCCATCGTCCTGCAATTCTGTGAGACTGAAATAGTGAAAGTGTCCTCAGCTCACCACGGACATCCGCAACGGCTCCAAAGCTTTATTCAGCAATCACATCATAACATCTGAAGCAACGTTTCATCAGGTATGTGACGAGCATGTCTTTTGTCACGTGACTGATGAAGGGGCCCTGCATGGCTCCAAAACACGGCTTCAGATGTTGTGAAAAATTCACTGAATAAAGCTTTGGACCCGTTCCGGATGTCCACAGTGTGCTGGTGATATATTTTCGCTCCGTCTGCCTTCAGTCTGCAGCCATTTACGTTCACACCATTTTGCAGGAAAATGTGCACTGGGAATAGTGTGTTTTATATTTTGTGCGACTGAAGTCACAGCTGAAACTGCAGTAGTGTGAGCCAGGACTGACCAGCAGCTAAGGGGGGCCCACTACTAAAGTGTCCTGCAAACAGCAAGGTGGAGGGGGATAGAGGAGGCCAGATTTTGTGGTTCCAGGAAAGACAATTGCTTGATTTCCCCATCAACACAGGCACAGCTGTCCCTGCTGAGAGAATAGTGATTATATTGCCAGCAGCTATAGCCACTGCCAATAATCACACGCTAAAAATCCGACATGCTGGTTGTACCCAAGTTGATTGATGGATTGACTTTGGTACAGTCAGCTTGCCCATGCCTGGCAGTATTAGGGTGGTTGGTTCGCAACCCAGCCACGGCACCTCCTGCCTGGAGTTTGCATGTTCTCCCCTGTGCCTGCATGGGTTTCCTCCCACACTCCAAAGACATGCTGGTGGGTTAATTGGATCCTGTCTAAATTAGCCCTAGTATGTATATGTATGAATGTGAATTAGGGACCTTAGATTGTATGCCCCTTGAGGGTTAGGGACTGATGTGAATGTACAATATATATGTAAAGCGCTGCGTAAATTGACGGCACTATATAAGTACCTGAAATAAATAATAAATTAAAAAATATATGATTTTCATTACCAGGTAGGGGGGTGCATGTGTCGCCCTAACCGCGTTGCCAGTCACCGGGTCCTGGCTGGAGACTCACCGCCGGCACCCGCTGATTGCCGAGTAAAACAGACGGGAGAGGCCTGTATGTAAACAATACAGGTCTCTCTCCTGCCAGCAAGAACATGCTGCTGTGTATTTCTCTGCACAACAGAGAAATGCAAAGCAGCATGTCTCCCTAGTAAAACAACACACCATTAACCCTTTATCATCCCAGATGTTAACCCCTTCCTGCACAGTGCCATTAGTACAGTGTCAGTGCTTTTTATTAGCACTGATCACTGTATTAGGTCTAGTTCACATATGTGCGGGTCGCGTTTTGCGCAAGTATGAGAGCACATTCATTTGAATGGACTCCTGTGTCCCGTCACAAGCAGGGAAGAAGTCCCTGCACTTCTTCTGAAAACGCAGCCCACACGGGAACCTCGTTTCCCAGTATGGTTGTGTTTTCCAGTGTGGGCGGCGTGCCATTAGAGCTAATGGCACCCGCCCGTGGTTCCGCATTACTCTGTGCGGGTGGTGCAGTTGCATGGATTTTCATGCGGATCCGCAGTGGCACCACCTGCACAGATGTGAACCTAGCCTTAGTGTCATTGGGTTGTCAGTGGCAGTCAGTTCCCCCCCCCAGTGTCAGAATGCCCGCCGCAGTCCCGCTATAAGTTGCTGATCACCGCCATTACTAGTATGAAAAAAAAAAAAATCCAGAATATATACCACCATTTGTAGACTCTGTAACTTTCACGTTAACCAACTAATCTGCATGTATTGGGATTTTTTTTTTTTAGCAAAGACATGTAGCAGAATGCATTTTGGCCGAAATTTATGAAGAAATTAAATTTTTTTAAATGTTTTTACTGGATATGTTTTATAGTATAAAAAAAAAATATAAATATATTTTTTTTTTTTTTTCCAGAATTGTCAGTATTTTTTGTTTATAGTGCAAAAAATAACCGCACAGGTAATCAAATACCACCGAAAGAAAGCTCTGTTTGTGGGGAAAAAAAAAGACATAAATTTAATTTGGGTGCAGCGTTGCATGACCGCTCAGCTGTCAGTTAAAGTAAGAGAGTGCTGTATCGAAAACCAATGGTCTGGTCTGGAAAGGGGGTAAATCCTCTGGAGGGCAAGTGGTTAAAGTGGTATTAAACCTAAAGGCAAACATTTATTATATTGTAGATTTCCATTTTCTAGCTGTGATGGGTGCATTTGTTTTTCTTCTTGTCTTTTTTTAGGCTTTCTTTCTTCCATTTTCATCTGGTGATCCAGGCAGTACATCTGTTGCTTTTCAAAAGAAGAAATGCTCCAGCAGATTGTATCAGTTACAGGGATGAGACAAACCATTTACAACTGACAGGGGTGCTTTCCATAATTGGCTTTTATTTATGTAACACTTTTATCCCAAAAGGAAAAAAACTCACTGTAACTTCTTATAAAGTGTTAGCTGGAGCTTGGCTACATTTGTTATTGTATCTAAATCTGCTAGTACATCTAACACTACCCACCCCCAGACTGACAATGCTGCTGTCCAAACGTGCTTCTCCATCCAGAGTGGGGGCACTAGAATACAAGAGGAGATCTGTTACTGGCCAGATCACCAGGTGAAAACAGAGGGGGGACATAAAAGAAGAAGACAACTGGTGCAGCCACTATATCTATTGCTTAGTAAATTACAATATATTTCATTTTTGGTTTTGAGTTTAATATAAATTTAAGGAACATTTATCAGCTGTACTTTTTCTTTCAGGAAAAGAAATGTGCATTTATTTTTTTCACCCTGAGCCTGCAAAGCATTGCAGCTGCAATCAGTGGATAGCGGGTGCAATGTCAGGCTCCTGCACACTCCCCCTCCATTACCAACATACAGGATTTCAAGTAGACCTAAAGGCAAAACTTATATTTTGCACTTTGGATAGGGTAAGGAAGGGTTATAACCCCGTGGCAGGAAAAAAAAACCTGCCATCCATTTCCCATTGGGGAGATTTCCCTTTACTTCCTGTCCCAATGCCAATACAGGAAGTGAAAGAATCCCGGGGTGTCATCAGATCTAGTGTCCCCATTGAAAGATTCCCCCTCCATTCCTCTTCTGGCGTCAACACATAATTTTGAGATTTCCCTTCACTTTCCTTAATGGTAAACAGAACAAAGAGAGAGAGAGTAAATCTCCCTAAAGCAGAAAAAGAAAGCGATAAAGACTTGGCAAGGGTTGTAATCCCTCTTCACTCTCTGCAAAACTTAAACAAAATAAATGTTTTCCAATCACCCTATTCAAACTGCTGCGCTCAATTTAAAAAAAAAAAATAAAAGGTGCTGTTTTTTTTTTTTTTTTTTTAACATGAATGTGATCTTTGGCACTCTGAAGATTTAAGTGGGGCAACAAAACGCACTGGAACACAATACAAATACATGGAAACACACAACGTGTGGATTTTGGTGCGAAGCTCCACTTGTCTGCCTTCTCCCCACCTCTGCTGTCACATTTGGCACTGTTTTGGGGGGGGAGCGGGTACCTTTTTTTGACAGGTACCTGCTCCCACTTCCTGCTCAGTTTGCCGCAGTGAACTGACACTGAAGTTTGGCCCCCTCCTTCCCCTGCAGCCTTCTGGAACACTACACAGGTCTCAGAAGACTGCTGCCCATTCACAAAGCACAGTGTAAAACCGGCTGTGAAGCTGCAAGGTTTCACTGCTGGTTTCCCTTAGTCAAGATGGCGGCACCAACTCCCAATAGCCAGTTGAATAATCAGCTCAGGTGAGAACACGGGTGGGGGGGGGGGGGGTGTAAGGATGCAGAACTCTTTAAATTGTTATAGTTTGGATGGGGGGGGGAGTCAGCAGCAAAAGAGAATTCTCTGTGGTATAATTTAAGGTGACTGTCACCGCAGGGTCCTTTACCTAAAGAACGCCTTGAAGAGGATCAGGTTCCATACTTTCCAGCACTCCTTTTTACTGCATTATTGCTGCTTTGCTTTTTCCCGCCTGTAGCAAATATTTGGTCCTTTGGGTGGTGAGGAGTTCTAGTGCGAGAATTATTGCTCTTGCTCTGACGTTCGTGGCGATACCTCGTGTGGTTTGAACACCGTTTACATATGTGGGCATGGCCTATGTATGTGTTCACCACTACGTGTGAGGATGGGGGCACTTTAAACTTTTTATTTATTTATATTTA